TTACAACTGTGAGTGGGACGTGAGGGAAGAGAGGTAGCACATCTCTCTGTCCCTTTAGCTGAACCTGAGTGCTACTTGTCCATTTGCAACAGATGTTGTGTCTTACACCCGTGGTGAATGATCTTGCCTCACTAAATCTGAGGTCAAAGTGGATAGATAAGAGCTGGGTTTTCTTTACCTGCCTGCTGGGACTCCTTTTCTCACCAAGTCCTTGTGTTCCTCAGGTGGTAAATTACAGCGATTCCCGAACAGCAGAAGAGATCTGTGAGAGTTCTTCCAAAATGATCACTTTCATTGACCTGGCTGGCCACCATAAGTATCTGAAAACAACCATCTTTGGCCTCACCAGCTACTGCCCAGACTTTGCTATGCTGGTGGTTAGTGCCAACACTGGCATTGGTGAGTGTTGCCCTGCTTGTACGGATTGACAGCAACGTGTGAAGAGAAATGGAGAATGTGGGGAGTGGGTCCTTGTTAGCTGGGAATGGTTGTCAGAGAAAAATATTACTCTGGAAGCCTCTATTGATTTCTTGTAAGCCAGTGCCTATGAGTGCCTAGGAGGGGAGCAGAGCTGGGATTCTCTTACCAGCTGTAGACCCCATTAAACTTCATCCTGGACAGAGGGGCTTTGTTTGGCATTTGAAGCTTTGTCAGAAAAAACCCCAACTCTGTGATATTATTAGGGATGCTGAATCCTGAAGCCTGGTAAGAAGGCAGCTGGAGTTCTCCCACATCTTTCCTTGACATTTTTGTGGCTGTTTTCTGGCAAACACTAGCCCAAGAATGAAAACTACTGCATTTTTCTGAAGCAAACAAAAATTCTCAATGGTTTTTATTTTTCTGGACTGATGTTTGGTTTTGTTTAAAAGAATAATTTTTCTTTTTCATTGCCTGATGAACTAAACAGGGTGAAATCTCTAGAGTGGGCCTGTGGGAGAGCCAGGAGACACAGCTGTTGCATAAACGTGCAAAAGTGATGACTGCTACTGTACCTACACTCTCACTTCTCTCCTGCAGCTGGCACAACACGAGAGCACTTGGGCTTGGCCATGGCCCTCAAGGTCCCCTTCTTCATTGTCATCAGCAAAGTTGACTTGTGTTCGAAAGCCACCGTGGAACGGACAGTGAAGCAGCTGGAGCGAATCCTGAAGCAGCCAGGCTGCAACAAGCTCCCCCTGCTTGTGAACTCAGATGATGATGCTGTTACAGCAGCACAGCAGTTTGCACAGTCTCCCAAGTAAGGGACCATTCTTTTCTTCTGCTAGGAGCAGGCGATTCAGACTGGGCTGCTGTGCGGAGCTGGGGAAGGTCGACCACAGGGGAGGCGACCGAGTCTTTAATACCTTGGCTCCTCATTGAGTTTCCTATCTTTGCGTTCTCCAAGAAGTCATCTTCCCCTCCCAGGCCTTTTTCTGGGCTCTGGGAGCAGAAGGTGCCTGAGGCTGCACTGGAGTTACTTCTCCATGATAGAAGTTGCGGTTTGGCAGGGGATTGGTGCCTTGACCAACCATTGAGTCAGGGGTTACTGCAGAGTTGTACCTGGCCCATCTGCCCTTCTGCTCTAGCCATTTATTGCTGTAGTCTCTGTCCTCTTGCTGGACTCTCTAGATTCAGAATCCCAGCCACTTTCTGCAGCTGCGCTCTGGCCTTCTGCTTATTCCTGTCTATTTGTGTCTGGCAGCATCACCCCGATCTTCACACTGTCCAGTGTTTCTGGGGAGAACCTGGATCTCTTAAAAGTCTTCCTCAACATCCTCCCTCCGCTGACCAACAGTAAAGAGCAGGAAGAACTAATGCAGCAACTCACAGAGTTTCAGGTGCGTAAGGGTAGTTTGTTTCCAGTTCTGGTACTGTACTTATTGCTGTGACAGGTGACAAACATCTGGGGGATCTGGACACCATGGGGAGAGACTTGGTGAACTTCTGGACAATTGGGAGACATTAAAGGAAAAAAAAGGACTCGGTCCTTGAAAAAAGCCTGTTAGGCTGGGCTCTGTCCTAACCAAAGGATGCCCGTCTTGGGGATAAGATTCTTTCTTTGGTTGCCACTTAAAAGGCAGAGGTTCCTCTAATGGGAAGGTAGTGGGAGCTGGTGAAAGCTCTGAGATGGTGTCTGATGACCAGCAGAGACCTCGCCTCCCTCCACGCAAGGGGCAGGCAGCTTGTCCTCATTCTGGAGTGCTATTTCACAGCTGTCTGAGCAGCTTATTCTTGTTGCCTTGCTGCAGGTCGATGAAATTTATACTGTGCCAGAGGTGGGGACTGTTGTGGGAGGAACTCTGTCAAGGTAAGTGAAGCCAGGCAGACAAGTGTGGGTGTGAATGGTTGCTGGAGTTCCACAAGGTTACAGTCACCCGCTGCAGATGTGAAACCAGCACAAAGCTCGGTGCTGACTGCTGCCAGATGACTGAGCCAAGTGAGGGCAAAGCCCTACAGGGTGTTGAGAGCTGCCATGAGCAGACCATTGGTCATGTGGTGGCAAGCAGACAGTCTGCTCTAAAGTTGCAGGATTAGGAATGTGACCTGTAGCTTGCTGAAGGAAGGCATGCTGGGACCCAGAGTTGGCAGAGGTTAGCCGTGATCCCAAGGTGTTGTTTTCTTCCTTCCTCAAGCAGGGGGAGGAAATGTAGAGGGCAAGTCCTCTGATCCTAGCAGAGGTTAACTGCATGCTACCCCATGAGAAGGCAGCTGTCCCTCAGTGTTCAGGAGTGATCAGAGTAGTTTGGCTACCAGTGCATCCACACAGAACAGCCGTCAACTGCAGTCTCCCCAGCAGAAACAATGCAGTGTGGTGACGTGCTGGGGACAGAATGGCCCCTCGCTGTACCTGGTATTCTTAGGAGCGATAGTGTGGTTTTCACTCCTAGTGTAGGAAATCTCTATTCCCACCAGCTTTGCATCCCTGTCAGTTGGTCCCAGGTAAGAGTCCAAGGACACTCACCTCCTTGGCCCTGGGGAGTTTGTGCATGTTGATCTTGCAGGGTGAAATTTCTTCCTTGTCTCCTGATGAACTCTGTCCTGCTCTTCTGCCCTGGGCAGTGGGATCTGCCGAGAAGGGGAGAACCTGGTGGTTGGTCCCACTGATGACGGGAAGTTTCTCCGGCTGAAAGTGTGCAGTATCCAACGCAACCGCTCCGCCTGCCGTGTACTGCGGGCTGGGCAGGCAGCCACGCTGGCCCTCGGACCCTTTGACCGCTCCCTGCTGCGCAAGGTGAGTCCTGCTGTTGCCAGGTTGCTCGCTGGTCCATTGAGAGTGGGAGATGCCCTATTGGTAGGGTGGGAATGAAGTAGAGATATTTGCAGGAAACTTGCTGGAAGGGGAGGGAATGGCCAGGCTATGAAGTAGGATGAGTACAAGGCTGAGAATGGGATGCAAGCCCAAGTTGCAGAGTGGAGATGTGTTTGTGATTCTGGGGGCTGTTCAGAAGCAAGGGGACGGGCCCTAACTGGTCTGAGCTTTGCGTTGTTGTGCAGGGCATGGTCATGGTGAGCCCAGAAATGAACCCCACCATCTGCTCAGTGTTTGAAGCTGAGATCGTGCTGTTGTTCCATGCCACAACTTTCCGGAAGGGGTTTCAGGTGACGGTGCACGTGGGGAATGTGCGACAGACTGCTATCGTAGAGAAGATCCATGGAAAGGTAGGCATGTGAGGAAAGGGGAGGAAGATAGACCTCTCTGTGGGGTTTCTTGGGATTCCACCATGCCCTCTAGTAATGCTAGGGTCTGCTGATACCTTGAGTAGCTGTGTCCCTTCCTAGGAGCACACTCTGTCCCTTTATCCTGCCCATTTGGTTGCTTTTCCTCCCAACGTGTTAAAGAATTCCCTCCTCACAGAACAAGCAGCATGATGGACTACAGCAAGACTGTGAAGGGAGGTGAACTTCCCATTCTCCAGAGCTTGTGTCTTCCTGTCTCCCCTTACACATACAATAATGGGAAGGGCTCAAGCCATGCAGTCTGGGGGAGGCAACCTGCTCACTTGCCTCATCTTCTTAGCATTCACATGCACCTTTCCTGCATGCATTGGTATGGTAGATGGGTCTAAGCTCTCCCCTTTCTCTTTTCAGGACAAGCTGCGGACAGGAGAGAAGGCAGTCGTCCGTTTCAGGTTCATCAAGCATCCTGAATACTTGAAAATTGGAGCCAAGCTGCTTTTCCGTGAAGGAGTCACAAAAGGCATTGGGCATGTCACTGACCTCCAAGCCATCACCACCAAAGAAAATGGTGTGGAGGAGTCCTTGGGGCCTGGACAGCTGAGCTTCTGACTACCACTAGGTCAGAGAGATCTCCACTCACCAACACCCAGGGAGAAGGATGGAAGCTCCCGTGGCTCTCCGAGTGATGCCTGGAACTGCTGCTGTCCCGTTCTAGCATGGCCATCCCTTCTCCGCACTGTGAGATGGAGCCTGGGAGAGTTTCTTGCATTCAGTGCCGTACATGGGGCAAGTTAAGCATGTTCTGAACATGGCCTGCAGCTTTCGTTACCCTGCCCTCCTTCAGAATAGATCAGAGGCACCTGCAGACCTGGGCAGGCAAGTTCTGGCTTTGTTTACTGTTTGAAAATTACTGGTTGGGAGGAGCAGAACCCTTGAAGACTAGCAGTGAAGGGATGTTTTTCCATCTCTGACACAAGATCTGGTCCCATTGCTGCTCTCTGAGCACTGGGTTGGTAACAATCGTCTTTTGCAGCTGCATCCTGCAGCACAGCCTTCTGCACAGGGGATGGAAGAGGCCCTGCTACCCACAGCAGGGGCTTGGTTGAACCTCTCAGAGAGCATTCAGGACACTTTTTAACCATTTTAATCTTGGTTGGCTTTAATCTGCTGTGTGTCCATTTGTGTGTTGGTTTTGCATTACTCCAATCTGAGTGTCTTACTGTTGGACAAATGTCCTGTTCCCCACTCGCATGTACACACTCCTTCAGCATCCTGCTTTCTGACTCCTGGGAAGCTGTGGCTGCTCCAGGTGGTGCAGCCTCCCGATGTAACGTCGTGAAGGCAGAGTTTGTACTTGCATCTGCTCCTTGCAGCGGCTGGGCAGGAGGCCGTTCTGTGGAGCAGAGCGGGGCCTGGGCCTGTGCTGGCACGTGCAGGTCGTTTCCGTGGATGTTGGGCTAACAGTGTCATCTGCACGTTGGCAGCAGTGGTTTGCAGTGGGCTCCCTGGTGTGGCTGTTTCAGGTCTCAGCCCAGCTTGCTCCTCACACGCTTGCCTTAATGTGTGAGGAGGACAGGCTGTGTTACTAACACCAAACCAGGCGATTTCTGTTATTTAGATGTGATTTGACAGTGGCGTGATTTTATTTCTATTTCTCCCGGAGGAAGAATTCTTTTCTTTCCCTTGCCACTGGGGTTTGTTGTCAGAGGAAAGCTGATGTTTTCAGCAAGGACTCTGTGCATAAAGAGTGGAGCATGTTTGTCTCTCACTCGCTGTCGTGCAGCTCCCCTGTGTAGCCTGGAGGATGCAGGGGCTGTATAGCTGTACATAGACTTTTTGGTTTTATTGTTGACTGTTAGACCAAATGTGTCTGCTGTGAGCAACAGGCCTTCAGCCAGCCCTGTCACATGGCGTGGGTGGCCTGCCAGCCCTGACCGAAGAGAAGGGCGAGGGCCTGTGATAGCACTTGGACACCCAAACAGCCCTTCTACCATCCTGAGAGCAAGTTCTGCTTCTGGGCTGCTGGCACAGGTAGTGCCTGCGGGGCTGAGCGGCCCGTGCTGGTTCGTGGATGTCTCAAAGCAGCGCTCTCCACTGGGCTGGGCTCTAGCCGGTGGGGAGGTGGTGGCTGCACCCTGCGAAGAGCATGCTGAGGCGTGGGGAAGCTGGTGAAATGGTGGCATCGATGAAGGGGTTCAGAGGCAGCTCAGTAGTGACAGGAGTGACCCGTCCCTTGGAGGGAGCACTGACCCAAGCAAAAATCTGCTTCTTCCCTGTCAGCCCAGCAATGAGACAGCAGCTGCTGGCTCAGGGTCGCTGCTCGAGCAGGATCCCTCTTTCTTCCCATCCTGGCAGTGGTCTGGGTGTTACGGTGACACTTTCACCCATGCCTGCAAGGACAGACCCAGCTGCCATCAGGCTCTTCCCTTTTAGTGCTGGTGGGTCACAAAGAAAGCTGCCTGCGGGGTAGGGGGGGACTCCAGCTGTTTGCAGCGGCCCTGGTGTTTTCTGCCCCAAAGCGGGCATGGGGTGCTGTGACCTTCTCTGAAATAGCTGATGGCTGGTCTCACCTCATCCCTGCCATCTGTGGCATGACTGTTCTTGGTGCCATGCTCTTCATAATTGCTGTTTTGTTGTCTTGAATTTTTCTAATGCTGGGGGTTGTCCCTATTCCCCAAGCATCTATATATAAATGTACAGAATAAAGATGTTTTATTGAGATTGCTGGCTAAGTTGTACAATGAGCAAGGGTAGAGCTGGGCTCTTGCCCTGCTGCCCTTGGAGCTGGGTCATGGTTGGAGGCGGCTGCCCTTCACCTCTTCCTAAGCTTCCGGCATTCAGCCCTATAAATACCGTCCTGTGGCATGGAAGGAATGCACGCGTGCTGCTGTTTACAACCATGCTCTCCTGGCTTATCTGAGCAAGCCTGGGTGTGCAGCCTGGGGTGACAGGCAGCCACGTCACCCTGAGTACAGCACTTTGGGCTGTTGTGGGCGGAACAGGTTGTGGAGCGTGCTTCCTCACAGCCACAAATTCCCCCGGAGCCTAATTAAAGAGATGCTTTCTAGGGCACACATCTAACCGGTAGTTTGTTTTTAAAAATAGCTTCAACCTTATCAAGGGCTTTGTGACTGCCTTCTCTCCATAAGAACAGGTCGTTCTCTTGGGGCAAGCAGAGGCAGAAAGGCTTCCCTGTGGAGGTGACTTGTGTCACTGAAGGGATTTGCCTGTTCTAAACTTGATTTTGTGTCAGGTAGTGGCATCTGCTGAGTCCGGTCCCACCAGACACTTAGGAAATGAGACGTGCCGCTGTCACAGGAGCATGAGGCAACCCCTGCCAGACTGGTTTCTACTTCCCTTTATGTGACAACTTTGGGAAACTTGTCACTTTGCAACGTGAGGACTGTCATTAATGGGAGTCACTCTGTAATTCCTTCTTCTGCTGATTACCAGCAGAGCTGCACGCACCAGAATGACCTTCTTGTGCTTCCTGAAGTCTCGCAACTGTGTTGTGAAGTATTAGACCCCCACCGTCAGCAGTGTAGCAGCTTCCCAGCATAGGCTGTCTGCTGGAAGGAGAGCAGCTCCATGGCTGCAAGTAGGCAAGTAGGATAGTGCAGTTCAGAAATGAAGAGGAAATAGCACATGCAAATACAGCTGGACTTTGCATCATTATCGGCTGCCTGAAAGGCTCTCTCCCTGCTCAGGGAGGGGAAGCCTGCAGCTGATGAAACTCTCTGCAAAGTGTGTTTCTAAACCCCACCCAGTGCTGCCTTGACGTGGCATGTTCCTCCTGCCCTAAGAGCTGAGTTCAAATTATTGGCAGCAGCACTTTCTGAAGAGGCTGGCAAACTCCAGGCAGCTAGCGGTGTAGCACAGAGCTGAGCCCTGCTGGGCAGCTGAGGGCAAGCACATCTCTGGCCCTGGAGCCAGTCTCACCCTCTTTTAGTGTCTGCTTGTGTGTGTGTGTGTCCCCGCCCAATATTGTGCTTTGTTGGCTGTTGTAATTTGTGGAGTGCTGGGGCAGGCAGCCACTCTTGATGTGAACTGTGGCCCAGAGAGTTGAACAAGTCATTTGGCAGAGCACGATCGAAACAGATACCTGTCATCAAGTTGTATGTAGTATCACCCAAGGTCTGGGAAGGAGGAAAAATGTGGTTATACACTCTTTTGCCAATGGAGGAAAGCCTTCACAGAGAGGGCTGAGTGACTCTGGCCTATTTCCCATCCCTTCCGTGAGGACTCCAGCAGTAGACTGTTTATGTGTCAATAGCAATTATCAGGAACTGGTGCCAAGATTTCAGAAAGCATGCCCATGCAACTCCAGCTTCCTCAAATCTTATTTGACAGGAGCGGTCTTTCTTGTGTGCTCCAGAGCTGGGGATAAGCATCACACAATGGACTGCTGCACAGAGGGAATTGCCAAACTTGTCTGTAACAAAAATCCTGATGCGGGAGGAATAAAAAATCAGTGTCTTCCAGGTGGAAAGGGAGATGGAACCACAGGGCTAAGCTACCATACACAAGTTATACAGACAGGGCAAGAACCACTATGAGGTGAAGGCTTCATACTAAGTGACAGGATAGGGGTTCAAGCCTAGACTTGGCTGGAGATTCCCTGGGATAAGCCGCTGTGCTTACAGTGCCTGCTTTTACAGTAGGAACAGAATTCCTGAGCAGTAATGCTATGGAAATACCCAGGGCAGGAGGTGTAGGTGAGAATATGATACAGCTTCTGATAGCACCAAGCAGGCAGAGGCAAGCTAGCTGCCACCAGCTTAAGCTGGGTATGTCCAGCATCATCCACAGTTCCTAAGTTCCCGTTCCTCTTAGACTTGGGGTAGAGATAATTTATTAGACTTTTCTGCATTAAAACCTGACAGGCAGTATAAAAACTTTTAACTGTATTTAAAAACACTGATTCTTTAAAAACACCGATTATCTAAAAACTCTCAGTGTGGCTGGGAGTTAAGGAGGTAAGCGCTTAAAGAAAAAATCTAAAGTTCTTGTCACACCTTCTCTGGGTCGTTTTGTACTAGATCCTGCTGGAGTCTTGGTCTTGGTCTTGGCAGGAGACCTGGAAGCTGCAGCCTTTGGGCTGGGAGCTGCTGCTGGAGCCGTGGGAGCACTGGGCTCCAGGAAGGAGCTTTGCAGCTCCAGAGCAAAGTGGTAGTCCATGTGCTCTGGGAACTCCCACACCAGCACGAGCTGGCCACACTTCTCACAGTGCTGCTGGTCCCCTGGTGAGGCAGGAGGGAACGGGGCGAGCTCGGGAGAGGGTGGCAAATTCTGCTCATTTTCCTCCATAGCTGACTCTAATTTCAGAAGGGTTCTGGAGCTGGGTGGAGTTGAGGGTGTTTGTGTAGCATCAGACAGCGACTTCTCATAGGGAAGCCTCTTGTAAGGAGAATTAGGGCTCCCATCTCTGGGATTCCGCTTCACGGGGGACTCCAGGTCATGCTGCACAGAGGCAAGACCAACACCGTCCCTCTCTTTCAGCTCTGGGGAGCTGGGCACAGGTGACTCTGCAGGGGTAGCAGCGGGCAGGCTGGCTGCTGCTGCTGTCTGCGACTGCTGCCTTTCTGCTGCCTTTTGGAAGAATGACTCAATAGCATTAGCTGGCTTCTGCCTAAGCTCTTTGCTTGGGCTCCTAAAGAACTTGACTCTGGGCCTCTTGGAAGATGCGGTGTTTTGGCCAGTGCCATCAGGCTGGGTATCACTCGTCAGGAAGGTGGCGATGCCTGCAGAGAGGAGCGTGGCAGGCTCTGAGAACTTGCTTGCTGAGAGAAGCACAGATATGAGTGGTGGAGACCTGCAAACGACAGCCCAACATCAGCTCAGACACCAGCCCGGGAAGCAAGAAGCCTTCTGAGGTAAGGCATTAAGCAATGCAAAATGTTCACAGGCAGGGGACACAGGGAACTGCAGTCCAGGTGTCTGGCAAGGGGTGGGAGAGAGGTTTCCTCTGACAAAACATTAGTACTGCTACCTCCAGAACAGCCTCACAGACACAGCAGGCTGTGTTGGGCAGCACAGAAAGGCTCTTTCCAGAACAGCATTTCCCAAACGAAAGGGCACAGGAGCAGGGGCTGCCAGCCTGGACTTTTCAGAGCTGCTGTGAGACTCCTAGGCAAGGTGAGAGGGCCTTAAGGCAGCAGCAACCTTGCTGGAGCTTAGCAGACAGGACCTTCTTGCCTTAACTATGCCTCAGCCTTCACTGCAGAGCAGGAGGAAGGAAAGAAGTAACACTGAACACAGGAGCTGTTCACCTTAGTTTTCTTTCATGCCCCAACGGCCTCCTTCCAAAAAGCACCTTGTCCTTAGGGGAGGAGAGCAAGGCCAAGCTCTTGCTTGTCCAGCAGGGCGAGGACTGCCTCGCTGCAGATGGACAATCTCCTGCCAGTAGCAATCATCAACTCCAAGTACAGAAGTGTCTCACCAGATGTGGGGCTAGGAAGAGGCCAGGCTCTCACAGCTGTCCTACTGCTAACAAGCGGAGGTCACTGCGCTCCGCTGCACATAAGCTGGGGATCACTTTTCCTCCCAGTCAGTGTTAACACTCTTGTTCCTTTCTGTCAGATCCCTGGCTCATCCTGCACCTCCCGCAGCAGACCAATGCCTGACAGGGACGTGAACCACTTCCTCCCACACTCACCAGGCCGCCTGGTGAGCCCCAGCCATATTGCAGTTTTGGATGAGGGCAAAAGCATCGTTGCACATCTTCTGGGCATCGTAGCGGGACAGAGCACAAAAGCGTGACACCCGGGTGTCTCCCTGCATGCGGATGACCACCATCAGCTGCTTGGCCACTCGGTGGTTCTGCAGAGAGAAGAAGTAGCTGTGTTTCAAGCGACACCTGCAGGAAAGAGCAGGAAGGGCCGAAGAAACAGTCTCGCTGCCCAGAACCCTGTACTATCAGCTAATACCTCCCGATGATGGTGCGTGACAGAGGGCAGCTTGTCCTGCCTGGCCCGATCTCCAAGGGATGACATACAGGACAGCAAATGCTTGTACAGCTCTGCCACAGAGGATGGGAAGCAGTTAGTCCCTGCTTTCCTTCCAAGGCAGCTGCGCACCTTTTCTTGGCCCCTCTGCAGCAATGAAGCTAGCAGATTAATCTCACCCTGGCCTGCAGTCTACCATCCAGATTTGAGCGTATCTCTTCCTCTCAAGCCCACAACACAGGCAGAGCTGCATCAGCAAAGGGCTTGCAAGGGAGCAGCAGTGCAGCAGGATGAAGTTGCAGTGGCTTTCAGGCCCCTGCATCCTAAAGCACGGGACAAGGACCATCCTTAGCCCTGCAGTGTTGTGGGGGAAACCCATCCTTCCTGGCCGAGCTCCTGCACACCTCTTTGCTTGGGGCACCTCAGCACACAGGTGCACACCTGAGAGTGAGCAGATTTCCTCCCCTATCACACACCACCCTCAGCCTCCTGCAAAGAGTTCACGGTGCAAACACACTACGTGGCTTCCTGAAGGCCAGCAGGGAGAACACTGTCCCCGTGCCTCCCCTCCTTACCTGGCTCCTGTCCTTGATCAGTCTGGATTCCAGCTCCAAGGCCAGCTGCAGGAGCCAGTGTTGCACCTGGATAAAACAGTGGTAACAGACAGGTTGGGCCTCTGCTCACAGGACTGCTGCCAGGCCAGAGCAACGCTCCGCACACCGGGGAATGCTGGAGGGGATCAGGCTGGAATGGACACAGCCTATCACAAGGCCCTGTTCTGGAGTACCTGAAGAAATCTGCCCAGGTGAGGATTCAACACTGGAGGCAAGGCACTGTAGATACCATGCAGGTCCTGCAGCATCACTACGAGACTTTGCCAAGTAATTTGGGTCCCCTGCCCTGGATTTCTCTTTGCATCTCCCTACAGCTCTGGGGGAACCTCTCCCCAGCTAACAGGTAAGGTGCAGCCTCCCTCTTTCTTTGGGCTAGTTACCTTCTTTCTAGCAACCAAGCCCTTGAAGCTTGGCACCACGAATACGTTTTTGAACAGCACAAACCCATAGTTTTGTTCGTGCAAATTACAAAAAGGTTGGGCCTCTTTGTGCAGGAGTTCATCAATGCACTTCTGTCAAATGGAGATTTCCTTAATTTCTGGGGCCCAAACCACCTTCTCCCACTGAGCCCCTAGGCTGAGTTTCAGGGCCCTGTGACTCAGAAAAGCAGCTGTTTTGCAAGCTAGTCTCGGCTTTTTGCATTCTCATCTTCTCCAGTGCAAAGGCAGAGCCTTGTGCTAGATGTAGGCTTCTCCTACCTCCTTCTGCGTGGCCAGGGCTGTCTTCCCAGGGAAGTTCTTGCTGCAGCCAACAGACTGGGGCAGGTACCGGTTTTTGACAGGTTCCTCTTCAATTCCTCTGCACAAGTCGTAGAGCCAGGACCTGAAAGCCACAGAGGAAGTATGAAGTGAAGGCAGCTACCACTGGGCAGCAAGTCAGCCTTCTGCTGAGCCATGCTTTCGGCTCTGTGCAAGCTGTGACTGTGCCTTTCATCTGCAGTTGCAGCTGCAGCTGAACAGGCAGGCTTCCTTCAGGCCACAGCTGCCTGTCAGCACAACTCCTCCGCCTCTTCTCCTGAAGTGGCAACAGTTCACCAGTCTGTAGGGCATCCCAAGCACTGCTTTGGGCCCAGAAGTGGTGTTACAGGCTCCACTCCAGCCTTGTAATTTCCTCTGTAATGAGACTGTCAAGCCTGCCTGCTTCCTAGCCTGCAGGGAGCCCTTCCACAGCTTGGCCCCATGTTTAGACACTGTAGAGGAAGGCAGAGGAGTTGGCTGACAGGCAAAATGTTATCCTGGGGAGGATGCCTGGGAGCAGGCAAGACTGGAAACCTGTTTGTAGGCCTGCCAGACCAACGCTTCTCAAAAGATGTCACTGAAGTTTTACCTACCAACCTTCATAATCACTGCAGAACAACCTGTGACCGAAAGGAAGTCTCAGTTCCTGCCAAGAGCCAAGCTGGGGTGAGTGGCTTATCATTACCCAGTTTTGTCTCCAAAGTGAGTCTGGAGCTCTGTCTCACTGAACTGTGTCAGCTGCCCGATGTACTCCACTCCCAGGATGTCTGTGATGGCAGTGCCAAGCTTGCCTCCCAGGTTACGGCTACATCGGAGAAAGAAAAAGAGAAAGAGAAAACACAAATGAAGCATCATGTGGAGACTATGCCAAGTCTTCTTGCAGCAGCTGTCCCTAGATCAGGACAGGTCAAAGCAGTCAGGAACTAGCAGGACAAAAGGGAACACTTGGTACGTAACAGCTCTTCTGCTCGTAGTAGAAAAACCACATAGGAGTTGAAGTGGGAACTGCTCCTTGGCTCACCCACTTTCAGTGCTTCTCCCTCAGCTTCATCTTCAAAACGTGATCCCAAACCATGCTCTGAAGAATGCCTCACATGCTCCCTGCTTCCTCCTACACAGACAGGACCCTTCCCCACACACCCCTCTCCATCCCTAGTGAGACACTGAAGGCAGAGAGCAGCAGTGCAGGTCTGGGGAGCAGGACCAGGGATCCGCTCCTCTGGAGCAGTGGTGCTGGTAACTCTTCCCACACCAAGAAAAGTACTTGTGCACAGTGTGGATGCTCAAAACCAAACCACATCTGCTCCCTGGGAGCACAGCTCTGTCACTCACACTGGGGCACAGCTATGGCCTCCTTGCCCACAGTGGCTCCCAGCCTACACCTAGGCACCCCAGCAGTCATCTTGAGCACAGCTCTACCCAGGGAAAGGCTGCCCACAGCTTGCTAGCAGTCCCTTCACTGGCAGAGCTGCAGCTCCTCCTAAACTGTCGCTCACAACTTCGAGGGATTACTGGCAGGATTTCCTCTCCATTTCTTACAAGCATTGATGAGCGGTTAACTGTGGAGTTGAAAGCCTTTGCTGGCTGCTGTCGATTCGCATCAAATTGCTCTCCACTGAGGTGGCCAGGAACAGTTTCCTACCACCCCAAGTCACTTTAGTTCTGCTCACAGAATCAATGATAACAAACCAACAGAAGCAAGTACCACAACAATGAAGACAAACAGGACTGGCGTCCTAATAAAAGCCTGGAACGTGGAAGCACAGCACCAGCATTTCGAATACATGCTCTTGCCACAGAGCAGCTCAGCCTGAGCCCCAAGCTGCACAAAAGCAGGCAGCTCCCCAGTACTTACATATTGCCAACAGGCAGTTGGCTGAAGAGCTGTGGGACAAATCGTGAAGATACCAGTGTCTGGCGGTTGGGCTTGTTTAACCCACAGGCCAGTTTTGCCAGTGTCTGTAAGACAGAAGAGGGTGGAAACCCTGTTATTACAAACTTTGCACTGACTTCACTGTGACTCTACCTAATGGCTTGTGCTGCATCACCTCTAAGAGCTGCCTTTGGAAGAGCTGCTGGGAAGGACGTGCAGGTTGCACCGTTGCTTGCTCCCAGGTAGCACCCACCTTGGGACTTGGCACGCACTGGCTGGGTACTCTGAAAGCACTGCTGCTTCCAGACTTCTAGCTCTGCAAAGGGCTGGACTCCTGCTCCAGGCAGCTTAGGGGATCTGGGTCTATCATCTGCTCTGGCTGTCTTAGTTTTCCATCAGGCAAGCGCGCTAGAGCTTCCAGAGCATTCCCATAATCCTCCCCAGGCTATTTCTCTCACTACGTCTTGCTCCTTCATCTTCTGTGTTTGTCTTGCTTTTTCTCAATGTCACTATTTTAAATCTTCTCTCTGCGAGGTCCACAGCAGCATAATGCTGCAAAAGGAAATCTGCAAAATACAGAATTGCTAGCGTGGAAGGGATGTTGTCTAGCCTATCTGCTATACAGCCTCCCCCCCTCCCACTCTAATCTACCACAGGATCAAGAATACATGGACCAGCTTGAAATACGTTTAGCTGGGTGTTTGGGGGTTTTTTTGAACTAGTCTAATAACTTCCTCTTTCACCGCTTTACACCACACATCCTATAACTAAGCAAAATTTCTTTCATGCCTATTGAAATGTGATCTTTATTAACATCCTGTTTTACAGGCTTACATACATTCTCACTCTTTTCTAGACAAAGTAGATTCCTTTCCTTCAACTTCTCATATCCAGTCATTTTCCAGATGTCCAATTACTGTTATTCTTGTTTCACTGGAGACTCTTCCAAGTTTACCCACACTGTTTATAAAGTGAAGTGCTATGAGCTGAACCAATCACTGAGACTTCATGGGGAGAAATAATTTACTTTTTCTGACACGTTCTCTAATTTGCACATGCTGAAACAGGATTTGTCATTTCTACAAGAGCACTCATATTACTGACTCATCCAGCTGCTTGTCCACAGTAACTCCAGGCTACTTCCTGACTTACTGCAATTTAGCCAAAAGCCTGCCGGTTGCATTTTTTCTCCTACAAACCACAGAAACAGTCAGTGAGGAGCATAAGAAGCACTGCTTGGTGATTTCAGACTGTTTCTGGGCTTTTCCAAGCCTGGAATTTTCAGCTCTAACTTCATCTCCTAGAAGTCTCACAGCCAAGGCCCTGAGCCCCATCTGTGCTTAGCATCCCCTGAACTCCTATAGCTGTTCCCTCTCTATAGGCTTCAGTGAAAATATTGGCTCTCAGCGGACCTCAAACAGAGGATCCCCCCAGGATCCCACTCTAAACACCCCCATTTTAGTGCAACTCACTGAATAAAGACATTATGGAAATTAGTAAGATTTTCTTCAGCTAGATGCGTGCCCTTCAGATGACCTAATCATGTTGTGTCCTCGTCAGTTTATGCGACTCAGGGTGAGATATGTTAGAAACCTTAAGGTTAACACCTCACATCTGTAGTTTCCCCTGTATGTTAGGCCATTTATGCTGTCAAAGAGGGCACATAAATGAGTTCGGCACGAGTAGTTCTTGATAAAACCATGCTGTTATCCTCCAGGGGCTTCCAAATAGCTCATTCAATTATTTGGTCTCATTTATCAGCTGGGTTCCTGGTGTACTCTAACATGTTAGCTCACTAGGAAGAAAAGGCTCTCAGGAGAGTTTTCTTTAGAAAAAACACCTTGAGTTTTAGGCAATGCTGGCTGTAGCCAGTGCGTGTTTTTTACTGACACAAATTAGCAGCAACTTGGGGGAAGAAGAATACCAGTTTGGGGCACTGAGGTGAGCTGGGTTGCTTTTCCTCTTTCTGGTCAGTTGGTCTTTACCCCTGCTGGGTGCGCTTTGGGTGATGCTCAGCCAGCTGCTGAGCAGCCACAGGAGCACTTCGTGCATGACAGCAGCTGCAGAACCAAACAGACTTTGATGCTGCAGCTACAGAGGGTTTCCTGCTGGGTGAGGTGCAGGGAGAGCACCCAGCACTCATTTCGTTCTTTGCAAAAGGGGCTTATCTGTACAGCTATGACTAAAAATGTAGGATCTGAGTAGAAAAAGAAAGGAATAAAGACTAAATGGATGCTTTGGAACCCAGGGAAGATAAATTTCTTCTTAGACCGCTGCAGAAACAACGTGGAACTACTACCATCTGTACACAGGTACTGGAGCTAGTTCTGCACTGGTTCACCTTGCAACTAGAGCAGACTGTGAGGCAGAAATGAGCTAGCTGAGGAAGATCACTGGTGTAGAAATTTCCAGTGGAAGGGATATTCAATTTGCTTTTTTGCTCTCTTTAATCAAGAATAACAGAGAACGTCCCTGCTATCCCTAGCAGCTTCTCCCAGCTTCTATTTTATATGCCAGCATTATTCTTTTTTTTTTTTAAAGGGACTAGGGAAATGATGATGTCCTGTGCTGTCCCTGAAGAACTGTACAGCTATACCAGCAAGCACAATGCAGGGATTAGCAGAGCCTACATGTGGCTGTGCAGAACGTGCCATAGCCAGCTCACCTCTTTAGGTGCAAACCTTTTCTGCAAAGAATGAAACGAGTGCTGGGTGCTCTCAGTAAACCACCCTGCACCTCACCCAGCAGGAAACCCTCTGTAGCTGCAGCATCAAAGTCTGTTTGGTTCTGCAGCTGCTGTCATGCACGAAGTGCTCCTGTGGCTGCTCAGCAGCTGGCTGAGCATCACCCAAAGCGCACCCAGCAGGGGTAAAGACCAACTGACCAGAAAGAGGAAAAGCAACCCAGCTCACCTCAGTGCCCCAAACTGGTATTCTTCTTCCCCCAAGTTGCTGCTAATTTGTGTCAGTAAAAAACACGCACTGGCTACAGCCAGCATTGCCTAAAACACAGGGTGGAGGTTACCGGCTTTAAGCTCTCATTTTTTTTCCTGAAGAAAACTCTCCTGGGGGACTTAAGCCCCTTTTCTTCTCAGTGAGCTAACTCATTAGGGTACACCAGAATCCAGGCAGTAAGTTAATAGAGTGCTGGCTGCATAGGCCATATCTCTGGGGAAAAAAAAAAAAAATAAACTAAACCTCTTCTCTTTCCTAGATGTCCTATAATTTCTGCAAAACTGTGCTCACACATGGCTGCATTCCCTGCCCAGCTCATCTTCTACGGGAGACAGGGACAAGCGCACAGGAGAGCGTCTACAGCACATCCTGACTCTGCTGCTCGGAAGAAATCAGGTTAATGTTACACGCGTACCTTGTTGTGTGAGATCCCAGCTGAACACCTGAATCCAGTGGCTGCTTCTACAGCCACCCTCATTTCTTCCACGATTACTGCACCCATGGTCAGCTGCAGGTCAGGACAATCGGGGTTATCGAAAGACAGCGACGCCAGCCACTCGTCCAAGCCACGTTGCCGCAGCTCCTCTAGAAAAGGGAGACAAAAGGGGATCAAGGAGGGTGTTTCTTGCTGAGCCCAGCAAAGGGCCCAGCAGCATCGGCCAGCCCCAGGCGACAGCCACGTGCTGCTGTACCTGCGCGCCAACAGCACGGACGAGAAGCGGGCGGCTTAAAAGCCATTCAGTGGGGAAAACATAGACCCCCTTTACCAGGCTCTTGCCTCGGGGGAGATAAAGCAGCCCACCCTCTACCTCTGTCGGTTGACGTACAAGGGAGCGTTACCAGGGGAGGGGGACAGCCCAGGGGGCCCGGGGGCGGCGGCACTGGGCTCCTTTCTCGCTGCGTTGCGCGGCCCCAAAGCAAAGCCGTTAGAGCCGCCCCGCCG